TTTATATAAAGGGACCTAAGCTTCCAAGGAGTTTGGTGTCTGTGGGGGGGGGTCCTTGAACCAATCCCCTGAAATACCAAGGGACAACTGTATAGCCCCCTACCTGTCTCAGTATCATCAGCAAAGATGTCTTGGACACTTATGTTGAAGACAGTGTGGTATTGGAAAGAATCTGGAGTTGAGGTTTAGAGTTAGCCCTAGACTTCTAAAAGTTCTAGTTCTAGAACTATAAGGAAATGTGATAATGGAACTGGGGCATTGGTGGCTCATATCTCTAATCCTAGCTACTGAGGAGGCAGAGTAAGGAAGGAGGATCACAGTTCAAAGCCAGCCCAGGCAAACAGTTCGCAAGACTGTATCTCGAAAAAACCCATCACAAAAAGGGGCTGGCAGAGTGAGTCAAGTGGTACAGCACCTGCCTAGCAAGCATGAGGCCCTAAGTTCAAACCCCATAGGGCCAAAAAAAAAAAAGAGATTAATTCATCAACCAGTTGCAAAATGTGTACTTATGCGGCTCCTGATTCAAGAACTATACTGGGAAAAATTGACATTTATGAGACATTGGGAAATTTAAACATTGTATATTTAATGATACTGTTAGTTTTTTGGTGCAGTCATGGTAGACTGGTTGTTAAAAATTTAAACCAAAATATTTTCCTTCCTTCCTCCCTTCTTCCTTGTTTCTCTCCCTTTTCCCACCCCTCTTTCTTTCTTTCTCAACTAATACTGAGTTTTGAATTCAGAGCCTGTGGGCTGGCCTGGAACTGCAATCCTCTGAATAACTGGGATTTCACACACCACCTCCCATGCCTGGCCAAAGTACTCCATTTCTTGATGTAGATATTAGCTACTCAGCCCAAGGGGAAATCTATCTTGAAAATACCCAACACAAAAAAAAAAGGACTGATGGAGTGACTCATGTGGTAGAATGCCTGCCTAGCAAGCATGAAGCCCTAAATTCAAACCCTAGTACTACCAAAAAAAAAAAAAAAAAAAAGAAGCAGCAGCAAAGAAAATGTGAATGTGATCTGGGATCAATTTACTGAATCATTCTATATTTTCATCTACATAATGTGAAATTAATATCCACCTCTTCTGAGGATTGTCTCGACATTATAAGCACTCAACAAATTATAGGTGTAATTGCCAAGCTTTGTTCTCTGCTTACAATCTAGATAACAAGATTTAAAGTATATTTAATGTAATGATATAATTTACCTTTAAAAAATTTGGCAGAAAATGTAAAATCATTTGGATGATTTAAGCAACACCTAAGCACAGTGACCCAGATCAAGAAATCATATCCTAGGTGGTCTTGCACACAGGCTACTCTCCAAAGCATGTAAGAAATCATTACAAGGAGCTGGGCACTGGTGGCTCATGCCTGTAATCCCAGCTATTCAGGAGGCACAGATTAAGAGGATCATGGTTCAAAGCCAGCCCAGACAAATAGTTCACAAGGCCCTATCTGGGAAAAAAACATCTCAAAAAAGAGCTGGTGGAGTGGCTCAAGGTGTAGGCCCTAAGCTCAAGCCCCAGTAACACAAAACAAAACATTACAAGGGCTGATGGAGTGGCTTAAACAAAAGAATGCCTGCCTAGTAAGCATGAGGTCCTGAGTTCAAACCCCAGTACCACCAGAACAGAAAAAAAAAAAAGTCATTACAAGTACTTCAACTATGTTTTCTCTCTGATCAACTACAGACTTTTAGTTAATAATGAAATAGCTTATTTCTGAAAATATACTCTCCATTGGTGAAATCACTAGAATACAAGAACTTTGGATTAGCTAAAATATTCTAAATCCACCCCCTTCCTCTTTTTATGAATAGGGTATAAATATCTAGTAAAGTCTGTGATCTACTTCTCTGGGAATACCCAAAGCTTGATCCCTAAATGGTTCTGTGTCCAGACACTGAGTCAGAGAACTGTTTGCTTGGGTCAGAGAAATGTAATGGTAACAAAATTGTATTTCTGGAATACTGCTGAATTCTGCCTCAAGTGAGCCTTTCATCAAAGTGTTGTCAGGCTGTCTCGAAGGACAAAGACCTGGCAATTTACCATACCTACAAAGGCTGTTTGAACTTTTTGTATTAGCTTATTCATAAATACTTAAAGTCTGTACTTATGTTAGAATTAAACTCTAATACTTAATTTCATTAAAAGTTGGGTAGCAAAGTTGTGTGGGAAACAAATAACCCTCATCCACTTATAATCAAAATGGCTTAGGTCAACTATCAATGAATGAAAAGATAATTCTGTCATATTGTAGCTTATGCTAAATGTAGAGTGGTAGAGATAAATGCTACATAAATAAAAGGCTAAGGTAAGAGGGTCATGAGTTTGAGACCAGCCTAGGCTACATAGCAAGAATATCTCAAAAAGAAAAAGAAACAAAAGAAGGATTACTGAGATGATAAAAGCAAAACCTCAAAAAGCGAAGATATTTAGAAAACTTTTACAAAAGCAGAGTCCTGGACCGAGGCCTTGGCTCAAGTGGTAGAGCACCTACCTAGCAAATGCAAGGCCCTAAATTCAAACCCCAGCACCACCAAGTAAACAGAACTCTGAGAACAAACATAAGTCCAAGTGTAGAAAGATATGAAGATGGTGAAGTACAGAAAGATTAAATTGCCCCAAAGGAATTTGAACTTTAACAGCCAGTACTCATTATCACATATCAAAGCTAAACAATACTGTCTTATTTAGCACTCCCAACCAGCTGTACTCTGATCTACCAATTCTTTACTTTTTTATTTCTTCAAACGTTTTTTTGAGCCAGGTGCTGGTGGCTCACGCCTGGCGTATTAGCTACTCAGGAGGCGGAGATCAAGAGGATCACAGTTCCAAGCCAGCATGGCAAATAGTTCGTGAGACTCTATCTTGAAAAAGCCCATCACAAAAAAAAGATGGTGGAGTGGCTCAAGTGTTAAGAGTGTCTGCCTAGCAAGCATGAGGGCCAGAGTTCAAACCCTAGCAAACCCTAGTGCACAAAAAAAAAAAAAAAAAAAAAAGCAAAGCTAATTTTGAAAACTAATTCTCAAATAAGCCATTCTCCTCACCAGAAAATACATGGCTTTATATTTAATCCAAATAACCAACACCACTTCATTCAAAAAGCGTTAACCTGAAGAGGTACTCCTGAGGCTGGGAATGCGTTCAGGGATACATTGCCTGCCTAACATGCACAAGGCTCTGAGTTCAATCCCCAGCACTAGAGCAGGCAGGAAGATACTACTTGAAGTGAGGTTTCAGGTATAGGACGACACAGCCAATAGATACTAAAAGTGAAGGGATAGGGAAAAAAATACATTAAGATTTTGATCTCTTACTGTGTTTTTTTGTTTTTGTAACTTCTCCTAAGTTAACCTAACTTCCTCCTCTAACCATTGCTCCTATAAAATAAAAATATAACAAAAAAATATATAACAAAACTTTTGTATAAGTACTCTGTAAGTTGATACAAATGGCACTTAGTTATACTAAACTTTCTTTTTTTTTTTTTTTGTGACGGGGGAGTAGGTAGTAAGTAGTCTCACTATGTTGCCCAGTCTGGCCAGCTTAAACTTCCATTCTCAAATCATATATCTATTCCTCAAATAAATATACACATTGTATATATCACTTCTATCATCTCCCACTACATTAAAGTTGTCTTGAAACGCTACTGAATTACCACTACTTTATTCACCTGCAGTTCAACATATTCCTACACCTAACTTTTCTTTCTTGCATTTATTCTATGCCCACTCCTAGTCAAGTGATCCTAACTAGCAATCCTTTATCCAATATACAAATTTCAACTATTTATTTTCTTTGATATTACACCCTAAATTTAAACTATCCATTTTTTGTGAAACAACTTCACTCTTCTTTCTAAGAAGCTGAAATTTCATCTTCTATACAAAATAATAGGAATCAAAGGTTGGTGGAGAGGTTCAAGTGGTAGAGTGCCTACCTAGCAAGGGCAAGGCTCCGAGTTCAACTCCCAGTATTGCCAAAAAAAAAAAAAAAGCATGAAAATAAGAGGAATCAAAATGGAAAGACCAAACTTTAAATCCAAAGCTCAGCTTATAATCTATCTTGAAAAATTCGTATTATAAATTGAATTGTTCTCTAATTTCTTTTTTTTTTTGAAAAAATTTATTTATATTGCTTAGATCTTACAAGTAAATATAAAACATCTGCAAAGCAGTTCCTTGGATTTTTTTTTTAGTCTTCACTCAAAGACATCAATTAACTTTTCTTCCTTGTCTGGCATAAATCCTACATAAACTGCAAAGAATTTTTGCTGCTTTCTTTCACAACTAACTGCACAAACTCACAACTGCACAAATACATGCAAGTGCATCAATATTCTGTTTAAATGTAAATAAAAACAGGAATCTGAAACATTTTATAGCACAATACATGAATTCATATAATGCTCACTTTAGACTTAAATTTTAAAATCAGTGGTATGAATATGGCACAATGCCTCACATACTCAAAGTTCCTAAACTTATCTCATTTGGTTCCCAAGTTCCAGGAAAATACATATTGTTCATTCAATTAATAGCAAAACTTGCCCAATGTCAAAGCAGAGAAAAAATAAACAAAAAAAAAAACCATAAACAAAACAAAAAAAAGAGTCAAAGCCCAAATCTTCTAATGGAGTCCAACTTTTCTTGAATAGCTGACTTAAAAAGAAAAGCTAGCAAAAGTTCTGAAGTAGAGAACGTTCATCAGGGTTATAATTACAGATGGTGTATCTATTTTTAAAGTCCTTAGAAACAATCTAAAATACATATGTCAATTCTTCCTTTCCCTACAATTCATTTTTTAAAATACTTAATAGCCAGATGGAGAAGTAGATAAAATACTTAAAATGTCAGATGTCATTCTCAAGTATGACAAGTAAAAAATTTCTATTAGAAACATGAAAGCATCTGTCATGAGCTACAAATAATTTATGGTTTTTTAAGTAATAAATTACCAAATTATTTGGTATCTTTACTTACCGAGACAACGTTGTTTTCCCAGAACCAGGCAGACCTCTCAAAAGAATAAGTAACTTCTGCAATTTATTTAACTTTTCTTCTTGCAACTGCTGGTCCACAAATCTGTCCATATAAGGATCTTTCCAGCATTCTCTGATTTCACAAAAACTATCAGTCACATATCCATCTTGCATACTGTAACCATTTCTGGAGGGATGAACACTACTATTTTCACTATAGTCATTATATTCATTGTTCTGATCAAAAGTCAAACAATTCCAGTTATCATGACAACTATTTACATAATACCCGTTTTGTATGTGAGAGTCATCTTGAGCAGGTATTTGTGGTGGATTTGGTGGAGCACTGAATCTTTGAATGTTTAAATGGTAACTGGGAAGAGGAAGGATCATGGGGTATTATAAATGGATGCACTGACTGCCATTCAGGCCTGAGGGAAGTAAATGAAGGATCACAAAATGTAGGTATCACTTGTTCATGGAAGGGATATTGACTTGGCTCATTCCCCACGTACTGCTGATAACCACAATATGACTGAAAAGCATTACTGAGATCTTTATTTTCTTCATCGGATTTTAAAACATCATTATTATAGCCCTGATATGGAATAACTTGTTCTTGAGAAGGTTCAGGTTCCTTGCAACTGCTTTCTGAATCATCTTTTTCATTTTCAAGCTCTTGGATTTCTTTGTAAAACTGGGATAATTCAGTATCAATCTCTGACTTTTTGGAGTTAAATTTCTGTTTCTCCTCTCCTCTTCCTTTGCCATTTATATCACTGAGAGTGTCTATTTCTTTCCTTCTTGCATTGCATTTCTTTTTCCCAGGGGGTTTGTAAATGGGTCCTATGAACGCTTTACTTGTGCTATATATTTCATCATCTGTAGACACTAATGGAGGATTTCCATCCTGTAAAACTCGTGAACCAATGGATTCGATAACGTCTCGTCCATTACCAGGCATCTCATCATGCAAAGGTTTCAGCAAATCTGTAGTTTTAGTTTTGTCCTCCTGAGGATGCCTCTGTCCTTTGTCATCAATTATGACCACCCAATTATTTTCAGTTCTCGGTTGGATTTTGTGAAAATCAGAACTCCTGTGATGAGGGAAAACATAAGTCTCTACAGTTGTCTTTAATTTTTTATAGCATGGTTCACTTGTTAGTTCTTCTCCAGGTCCCAAGAACTTAGCTTCAGTTTCAGCATAAGGCATCTGAGGAGTATATAAAGCACACAATTATTAGCTAGTATTTTAAAAAATCTAAACAAATGTTTCTTCAAAACAAAAAAATAGAAAAAGACACTTAAGTTTATGATATAAGTATATAATGGTAACATCTTGCCAACTACAGTCAAACTGTAATTTTATAACCACTTACTATTTAAGTATTGTCATAACATAATGATTTATGGGAGAAGTCCTGATGAAGCTAATTTTTAAAAAATATATGTATCTCATCTTTAAGCAATACATTTCAAAATTTAGAAACTTAAGAATTTATGCCTGTAAATCTTAGCTACTCAGGAGGCAGAGATCAGAAGGATCCCTGTTGGAAGCTCGCCTGGGGCAAATAGTTCATGAGACCCTATCTTAAAAAAACTCATTGTAAAAAAGGGGTGGTGATGCCTGCCTACCAAGTGTGAGGCCCTGAGCTCAAATTCCAGGGCCACAAAAGAAAAAAAAAAAAAGAAAAAAGAATTGAAGTTTGAAAAGTTGAGTCAATAATACACATTTTGATGATACAGACTACACAACCATGTATGTATGTATGTATGTATATATATATATATACACGCGCATGCGTAAACACACACAATTGATGTATTGATGTTCCTATCCAAACTGGTTGTGGCACTGCATCATAAACATGTCCTTTGGAGTACAAGGCTCCAACTTCCAAACCTCAGACAACTACATTTCTTTAGAATCCAAATGTCAGATTTCCTGAAATGCAGTCTTTGTACGCCCTTTTCCTATGAGTAGTTAGTGTGAAGGCAGTTCCCAAATGAGTGTTGTGTTCTGAAAGAAAAGAGGTAACTTTAGTTGCACTGATGACACAAAAATATTTTACTTAAAGAGAGAAATCTGGCCACTCCTCAAAATCAAAGCCTTAGTCTTTTCCAGTTGGTTGGCCTACCTCGAAAAATAAACTGTTTCTTGTGAAATTTATTAGGAACCCTCAAGAATACAACCCAAAAGCCTATTTTGCTCAATACTTCCTCACAGTGTCTCCTCTCTGATGTTCCTCGCCTACACAAGGAAAAAGGAAAGGGCAGTATTTGGGAGGCTGAGATCAGGAGGCTCACAGTTCGAGGCCAGCCCAACTCCAAAATAACCAGCGCGAAATGGACTGGAGGCTTGACTCAAGTAGTAGAGCGCCTGCTTTACAAAGCGCAGAGCTTGAGTTCAAACCCCAGTTCCACAAAAAGAGAGAGAGAAAGAGAAAGGAAGAGGCAAAAAAACGAGAATGATGCGGGCAGGCCATAGACAGGCTGAAAAGCTACAAACGGAATGCCATCGTCCCGGACACAGCCCGCCACCCCGCCACCTCCGCCTTTCCCCACTGGAAATGTCAGGACAGTCCTAAGGAAGAGCGAGCGGGCCGCGTCAACACCTTGCGGCCCGTGCACGATCTAGGCCCATGGCCTCCAGATCTCCCAAAACAGCTGCTTGGCCCTAAGTGCGTCGCCCAGTTTCTCGGACCCAAAGGGGAAATGGTAAGGTTCTGTTTAAGTATTCTGGAGGTCTCCAAGGCTCAAAGGTTCATTCCCGGCTTCTGCGTTCCCAGTTCCATCTAAGGGGTCCAACTCGGGAGAACCCGAGTCGCTAATCGCAGAAGAAACCGATAAACACCGCCAAAACCGACCTCACATAAAATGGGGTGTTTACTCACCTTACTCACAACTTTGCATGGACTTTATCTCCCCAAAAACCTTCTGCAAAAACATGAACCTCTATGAAAGTGAAAGAAACGCGGCCACACCGTCACAAAGCAGAGAACTGTAGAAGCTCAACGCCCAGCAATCAGGATGTGGGGCAGCAAACCGCACCTCCACACGCAAGATGGCGGCCACCTCTCGGTTACCCAGGCAGAAATTGCTGGAATGCGCCAGGCATTGTGGGAATTGAAGTCCGACGCTCACACCGGCCCTATGAATCTCACTCATGGAGACTTGCTTTCCCAGAACCCATTGCGGGACATACGCACTGATTTGGCCACAAAACTGGACCGGAAGAGTTCCTACGTCTGGAGTAATTAAGTTGTTTAGAAATAGTAACTTCGGCTGAAAAAAGCAGCGACCTCGTTGGCTTTTATCCCTACGAAAAGAGATCAGAAATGCTTGGGGCCCCAAAATAGACGCATAAACTCCTCTCAGTGCATGATTTTTCTGGCTTTCCAGCTTCAGCTGGCTTTTCAAAGGAGACTAAACATTTCCTATTTCGGAATTGGATTGCCATCGTTTCTGGGAGAGAGTAACTAGACATTTTTATAGGCTTGTGCTTTTGTGTAGAAGGATAGAATTCCTGTAGAGCAGGGCCCTGATAGCCGGGTTAAAAACACTTGTGAAATAATTATTTCTTATCGTATCTCTGTTTTGTATTGTTTGGTAGAGTAACAGACCAGTTATTGAGCTTTCCCATTAAAAGAGTCGATTATTTCGCCCCTACCAGTGGCTCACACCATAAACCTAGTCTTCAGGAGGCAGACATCAGGAGGATTGTGGTTCAAGGCAGCCTTGGCAAAAAGTTCCTGGGATGCTATCTCAAAATAACCAAGAGAAAAAAAAAAAAAGGGATGATGAGGTGGCTCAAGCATGAGGCCTGAGTTTAATCCAGTACTGCCAAAAATTATTTAAATAAGAGTAAATATGTAGCCGGCGCCTAGCTACTCAGGAGGCAGAGATAAGGAGGATCTCGGTTGGAGACCAGCCCAGCAAATAGTTCTGGAGACCCTATCTCAAAAGTACCCAACACAAAACAGGGCTGGTAGTGACTCAAGTGTAGAGCACCTGCTTAGCAAGTGTGAAGTCCTGGGTTCAGACCCTGCACCTAAATATATAAATAAGTATGTGAAAGGTGTTAGGACAATGAGCTTCTGGAAAGAATAAATTCTATATTAGTGTGTGTTTACTTAAAAATGCAGTCTGAACAACTGGCAACCCTCAATCCAGGGTCTCTTATCTCTTCCTATCACTTCCCACTCCCATTGAACAGGATTCCTGAGTCTTCATTTTTTTTTTTTTTTGGTGGGGGAGGTGTGCCATAAGGGTAACTGCTTAGCTCTTCATATTTAAATAATCCTTTCTGGGCCCCATCACGATCATGATTGGGTTTTTTGGTTTTGTTTGTTTGTTTTTTCTGGTACTGGGGCTTGAACTTAGGTCCTGGAGCTGCTCCACCAGCCCTTTTGTGTTTGGTATTTTCAAGATGGGGATCTCACAAACTACTTACCAGGGCTGGCTTCAAACCGTGTTCCTCCTGATCCCTGCCTCTTGAGTAGCTTAGATTATAGTTACGAGCCACTGCTGTGGGAATCTCAAGCTGAGATACAGAACACTGAGGCACTTTAGCAGGAAGCAACTTTTTATTGTGCCGGCACAGACTCAGCGGACTTGTGTCCAAAGGCTGAGCCCTGAGAACAAAGAGGTCTCACCTTCTATACCCTTGCAAGCAGGTTACAGAAGCAAAAAGCAAGCTCAACCCACTTGTGGCTGCGTGTGACTTTATTGGCTATTTATTTTCCCAGTGCTATGTGACCTTCTTTATGTTTCAATTTTTTAAGTTTTATCTCTGTTTCCCATCCCTTCCCCACTTCATTTTCAGAACACAGCCTGTCTTCTGGTCCTCCTCCCTGCTACTCATTCCCCACTTTGATGATCGGACCCAACTAGGGTCAAAATATTATTCTTGATCTAGGGGTTTGTATTTTCATCATCATTATATGGGCAGTAGCGGCCTCTATAATGGTCCTGATAGACCGAATACCGCGGTGGCGGGAGGGGGGGGACCAGGCAGGATAATATTAACCATGCTCCATAGACCCATCACCCCGCTTTTGTGACAAATGTAGTCTGTATTGTTTTCTTTACTCTGTGACTTTTAGTATCACCTAGTAGCACCTCATTTACCTGGGGTATATGAGCCAAATTAACATCTGTCTGTTGTGGTGCATGATACAAGTATGGCTGTGCGGAGGTCCCAACAATGGGACTTAGTAATGGGAAAAACCTTGCAAGGGCCAATACAAAAGGTAAAAGTCCAATATGTAGGAAGAGGAGCAGGGGTGCGTCCATGTTGAGCTTCCTCTGTGTGT